ATTATTGTATGTTGTCTTTCTTTAGGACGCTATAAACTTCAACTGCCGATCTCTGATTGCTTCAATTAAATATTTGTATGTTGTCTTTCTTTAGGACGCTATAAACTTCAACTGCCGATCTCTGATTGCTTCAATTAAATTATTTGTCTGTTTTCTTTCTTTAGGACGTTATAAACTTCAACTGCTGATCCCTGGTTGCTTCAATTAAATTATTTGTCTGTTGCCTTTCTTTAGGACGTTATAAACTTCAACTGCCGATCCTGGTTGCTTCAATTAAATTATTTGTCTGTTGTCTTTCTTTAGGACGTTATAAACTTGAACTGCCGATCCTTGGTTGCTTCAGTTAAATTATTTGTCTGTTGTCTTTCTTTAGGACGTTATAAACTTCAACTGTCGATCCCTGGTTGCTTCAGTACCTTTCTTTGCAAATTCAGATCCAAATTTTGTGAATGATGTTGTGACTAAGCTTGAATATGAAGTCTTCCAACCAGGTGACTTCATTATCAAGGAAGGAACACTGGGAACAAAAATGTATTTCATTCAAGAGGGAATAGTAGATATTGTCATGGCAAATGGTGAAGTGGCCACAAGTCTGTCAGATGGATCTTATTTTGGGGGTGTGTATTTCAAAACCAGTATTATATTTAACATATAATGCATTATTAACAATATTTTAATTTCTTAAAAATGTTTGCATTATAAGTATTTTTACTTAGAATTTAGATTTATTAATGTATTATTGTAATGTTTTATATTGTTGAGTGGGTTCTTTCGAATTTTTTGGTAAAAATAATTTGAAGTCCAATCCATGTAATGATATCAATTTACTTTATTTTTCAATAACTTTTGCTAAGACTGTGTTCAGTAGTATGTCTATCTTCACAAGCATTTGAACAGAAATTATGAGACTAATGGTACATAGGCCTAACTTACTTATAAACTTACAGAATTGTTTTTGCCAATCAGTTCATAACAAATGCACTGAATAACTCACTGAATTGCTTCCTAATAGATGAAGTAACTCACTGTTTAACTTACTAACTGACATTGAACTGAATCTCTCTTTGGTTATTTATTAACTCACTGCTTCACTAAATAACTGATTAATTCACTGATTCTAGTACTTGTCTTATGCTATTATTTCTGCCTAATACAGGAAACTTCGAGGTGTTTCATTATCATGACATAATGACAATATTCTTTTAGCAAATAAACATCTAAATTAAAATATAGTTTTTAATACTGTATTAGAATATTGCAATTCTCTATCTTAGTGCTGCTTTCATGATATTGATTATTATGTTAAACCTAAAAACATGTGGTAAATTATTTCATTGGCAACCCAATTTTTTATTTTCTCATCTTGATAATGAACCCAAGATCTCTCATTCATCAGGTGAGTGCTCTACCAACTGACTTATAATGTTAACTCACTTTCAGCTACTAGTAAGGCAGTTTTTACCAATTCAAACCAACACATTTCCTGTAAATTTAAGGTTAAGCCTAATATGGCCAAAAGAAACAAAATATGAAAATTTAATAATTGCTTAAATTTAATACAGAACATCTCTTTTTTTATTATGATACTTCAATTTATTTATCTGCCTTTTAAATGCCTTAAAAAAAACCCACATACAATATTTACACTTTTAAAATGTATTTCAGCAACTTTCAGTGCTAAACTAAAAAGTCCTATTTTACATACAGTAATGGATGTAATTATAAAAATAGACAAGCAGTGCAAATACACAAGTCTCAAACAACAAGTAATGACAACTAGCTCATACATTTATTAATCATACAAAATATTATAAGAGAAAATACAAAAGAAAAGTTTCATGCTGCTAGGCAATTTATCAATATTTAATTGTGGAGTATTGTTCCAAATATCCTGTTTTACTCCTTTCATTATTCAGCCAAACTCTTTGGTTGCCTTTTAACTTTCTCAGTTCTTATATAAGCCAATATAGCCTTACTAATGTTCATATTGGAACTTTGTGCAGACAAAGCTATGGCTGTAAGTGTTCTATTGATCTCTTTACCATCAACATGTACTTCATCATATTCGTTGTATGCTTGGTTGAGGTTATTATCTTGCTGGAAAATTAATCACTGTTTGGTGAATCATGTTCCTGAGGAAATGACCAAAATTAGCTTGTACTGATCAGCAGTTAGGGTGCCATCAGTTTTGTGTAGATCATCGATACCATTGCTGAAATTTAGCCCCAATGTTGTGCTGATCTCCCACTAGCTTCACCTTAAATATTGTACATTGACTATGATACCATTCCATTCTCTGTCACCAAAGAAACTGTCAATCAATGTTGCTGAAAAATTTCAATTTGTCTGTAAAGAGCACATTTCCAGCCTTTTGTGGTCCTTTTGGTTCAGTTACCTCTTTTTAGAAGCAGTTTTTGAGCAACAATGCCTTTATTGAGACCACTTTATGCTATTGTGTGTCTTACTGTTTACAAGATAATAGTCACACATGTATTTACAACAGGGTAATTTGCAAGATCTGTACTCAATCATCATCTGTCTTGTAAAGAACATACCCTCTGCCCATCCCTGCCATGCCTTGATTGAACAAATCAGTATTTTAGGATTTTGTAGTCACCCATTGAACTGTCTCTGGTAATAACATTCCTCTGGACTCTCCAGTGCATAATCACCCTCCTTTCTTCTAGTGGAGTGTGGGAGTCCTTTCCATTTTCAAGCTGCTGGGGTGGTTGACTGTGATAGCACCCCTCCTGAATGGGTTCCACAAAAATATGGCTATAAACATTCAGTCGAGTGTAGGGCAGTGGTGTTCTCCTGATGTAAATGAGATGTGGCCTCCAGAGAAGTTGAGCCATAATCTTCCTGGATGAAGTGGCCTCCTGTTACCATTTACACAACCACTGGAGTTGAGTTATCGAAAATGCAGTTCATCCCTTTGATTAGGAGCCCTCATCCTACCACCTCATGGATGTCAGTACCCCGTGGCCTGGTGTTTGATTCAGAGTGGACCAATCAACATAAGTCCTCACACAATGTTTTGGTTTGTATATCTTTGTTGTGGATCACAGCGGTGGTACATGGGATTGTTCTGGTTCTAGCCTTTGCTATCCCTCGTTCTCTTTTCTTACGGGGATGTTATTGCCATTTGGAAGGTCCTGGCCTGTTTCATGGTTGGAGGAGTTGATTGTATGCAATAGACATCCTTTTGATACTGAATGTCAAGTTCCCAGATCAATAGCTCAAAGATAATCCTTGTGTCATACCCAGGAATAGGAGTGGTTCTCAATTCTCCGGTTCTTGGGTTTGAGGTGAAGATGGTATGATTCTCATCCTACCCTCATGTGGATGTCGGTGTCCCACAAGGAGGTTTGGGATGTAGTTGACTTACCGAGTACGGTCCACCGAACCCTAGCTACTCTACATCCAGGGGCACATCCTTGTTTACCCACATTTAACTTAAAATATCTTTTTCTGGTTAGGATGACTTTAATACCACATTCTCTTCCACTCGGATGTGCTCCTCTCATTTTCTGCCCTGATATCTTGCACATTCAGAAGTGGTGCAGTTCCCCTCATCAGATCTGACCCTCTCATCTATGGAAGTATCCTTCAGATGCTTTTTGGGGGGTATGTCTGTTCTTCCCTCATAATGGTCCTTCCTCCTTATCAATGTTAGATTCTGGCTAATCTTGAGAATGGAGAGAAGTACTGTATCAGAAGTTATATTTCCTATACTGAAAATGTATTGCCGATAAATACTTCCCTCCACTCACACTTCCCACCCTTCCTCCTCACACACTTCCAGTGCTTCCCTTTTCTGCCAAACTTCAAAGATATAGTTTGATAGAGGTGCATAGAGGGAGTCATATGCGTTATGTGAGTGTACTATGCTCCTATTGATGGAGAGGTAACAAATGATGATTTACATGAGAGATACGTTGGCATCATATAATTCCAAAGGGGGGAGAGCAGAAGGCTGGTGGCATGCGTAAATATAAAGTTTGCATAGAGGGGGCAGCAATGAACGAGAATAATTGATCTTGTGAGAAGAGGGAAGTATATTTTCAGTATAGGAAAATTATCACTTTGCTACATGAGGTAAAATTCTTGATGCTTCTGGATGTTGTTCTTCAACTAGCCAGGGTGTCATTCTCTTGTGCATTCGAGCTGTCATGGAAGTGTAAATCCTGCCAACAACATGGAAGAGTGTCCTAAAGTGGGCTTTAGAGGATCCTGCCTACAGCTGACTTTGAGCATGTAGAAGAGGGTATTCTACTTGTAGGATCCTCCACTATGTTGCTTTTATGCTACAGTAAGTGATGAAGGGTAAAGGTAACTAAAGTTTTGTAACTCCAGGGTTAGGAACCTGACAGACCACATAAAGTGGCTAAGGTAACTAAAGTTTTGTAACTCCAGGGTTAGGAACCTGACAGACCACAT